ACTAGCAAAATACGACTAAAATCTAGAAACGGAAAGGAAAACATATCAAACAAAAGGCCAAAACCAATTCAAAACAGCAGCCCTGTTCACATCCACAGGCTGGCTTTCTTCCGCGGTTGTGGAGCTGCACCTGCAGGAAATTGGGTCCAGCTTGAAGTTCCCTTACATGTGGAATCTGCCAGTGAAACTCAGGTGCGGTAAGGCCCAAGCCTTTCCCTTCGCTCCCCTTTCCAGCTGTGCCCCTGTCCCAGCTTTACCTTTCCAAGGCTTTCTTTTGTCCCGACCCATGGGCCCTGGCCTTCCGCTTCATGGTCTAATCTCCCGAACCAGCTGTGGTCAGTGGCCGTAGAGGGCCAGCTGAACTGTTGAACCCTTTTTTTTTTTTTAACTGTTGAACATTGAGCAAGTAACACTTATTCTGGGAACGCGGCATTGCTTCCACTATGCTTGGCCGTGGCAACTTGGCCGAAGGGAATGTCTGCTGCTGAAGTCGTTGGGGGACCTTGCATGGCGGAACTACTGAGCAGAGGGAGGAGGGGAGGGACGGGGTGGATTTGTTGAAGGGGTCGGTTGGTCAGGGGGTAGGAGGGGAGCAGATCACTGAAGTCTCTGGTACAAGCTCTGGGAGCGGCAGGTAGGGAGCGTAAAGGGGATAAGGGAGTAACGTGTTAGCTTACAGAGGGAGCTGGAAGTGTGCACGCGGGTTGCCTTTCCATGATCCTTCGTGCTGTCTACTCTTCTGCCAGACAATTGCTCACGTACTAGCCTCTCTACTTTCTCCTTTGGACCCAGTAATTCCATTCTAAAACTTCTTTTTTTATTTTTTTATTTTTTTGAAAGGGCAACGGCCTTCAGGTATCGTCATTGAGGTGGCCGGCCGGAGGTTGTTCAGAGCTATATTGATCATCCATCTGGATTTGAACTTGCGTCTGCATTTCAACAGTTCGTAGGTGTACCAAATGAGCTAGCCTAAGGCTGTTTGGTATTTTTCATTCTAAAGTTCTTTCCTTTTCTGCTATGTGGATTTTATCAGTTTGGGTCCCAGGATGCTGTTCTCTTCAAGTTTTTTTTTTTCTTTTCTTTTTTTTTTTTGGGGGGGGGGTGGTCGGAGGGGATTATATCAGAAGAGAGTTTCAAATGGGCAAAAAAAGCGTGCATGGGAGAAAAAACAGCTGCGGAGTTGGAAAACGCAATGAAAATACCGCGGTCGAGGTGTTCAGGCCAGGTGCTGTGTCTTCCCACGTACGTCGTACGGCAGTACGAACGGCCGCCCAAACGGTCGTACAGCCAATCGTACTATGGCTGTACTGTACTGGACAGGGTGCCTGTCCAGTTCGGAGGCTGTTTGTCTCGCCCACCCATGTTTTTTTTTCGCCCATTTCAGTTTGAAACCTGCCATGTCCGTACTTTTTTCTTTTCATCTTCCCGTGAGCCCATCTGACATTCGAGTCAATGGAGTGGATATAGTCTGTGATCTGGTTCGGTGTCTGGATGTCGCAATATATTTGTGGCAAAAAAGCGGCTTCTTCCATAGGAACCCCATTCCGCCGGGAGACCCTTAGGTTGTCCTAGAAATGGTAATCTGGAAGGCAGGGAAAAGTTGAGGCTGTCATCTGAGACCCTGCTGTCTCCCACCACCTCCAGATTTGTTCCATCGTTGCGCAGGCCAGCAGGCAATGTTCGTCGTTCGATGGTAGCTGTCACAGGGGGACGGTTTATTACAGTATAATGGACATAGAGGGGATAGAAGCCCTCTGCGGCTGATAACCTGAGGTGGGGGCACCAACCACTGCCTGCAAGGTGCCTGTGAAAAAAAATCAATTGGACTTATCTATCACTCACCAGGACCAGATGGAAAACTCTATAGACTGCAGGTTCACACCTCATCATAAGCCAGCGAAACTCCCATGAAACGAGGACAGGCCTGTCAGAGCAAGAACATACACTCCAGACATGGCGCCGGGAGTGGAGGGAGCATGACTGCACTGTGACGGCTTATAACTGCTGACCAGAGAAAACCGTAGCCGCGAGCTAGCAAAGTCGTAGTATGTATCGTTGTAGAGAACTACTCGGTGAACAGTGGGCAGAGAGGGAGAAGAGAACAACAAACGAGGCGGGTGAGAGAGTGTTTCTTGGGCATTTCACTGACAGGAGGCTGAACCTTCTACAGTCAGCGGAGTTCACTAACAGATGGTGCCTAAGTGTTAATCTAGAGGACGGACGAACTGCATGGCAATCTCTCTCTCTCTCTCTCTCTCTCTCTCTCTCTCTCTCTCTCTCTCTCTCTCTCTGCATTCAATTAAACACTGAATGTCACAAAGATTGACTACAATACAAAAACACATACAGACCGACAAACAAATGGTGGACGCACACACACACACACACACACACACACACACACACACACACACACACACACACACACACACACACACACAC